AATAATCTATAGATGTCTGTTAGGTCCATTTGATTTATAATATTTTCCAGGTTCAATGAGTCTTTACTGAGTTTAGATAGCTCTGGATGAGCTATCTAATGATGAGAGGTATGTTGAAATCACCCAGTATTATTGTATCAGGGTCTATCTGAGCCTTTAATTCAAAAGTGTTGTCTACTTTATGTAATTAGATGCACAAGCATTTGGGCATAAATATTTACTATTATTATGTCTTCTTGTTAGATTGTTCCCTTTTCCATTATGAAGTAATCATCTTTGTGTCTTTTGATTAATTTTGATTTGAAGCCTACTTTGTTGTAGGCTTATTCTTGTCATCTATGAGAGGTGCTACTTCTGGTTGCCTTTGGACTCCATTCTAATGGTATATAAATTTTCATCCTTTCACTTGCAGCCTGTGGCTGTCTTTGCCTATAAGATGATCTCTTGCAAACAACATGTAGTTGGGTTCTGGAAGTCTGTGTCTTTTAGTTGGAGAGTTGACACCATTCACCTTAATGTTATTATAGAAAGTTGTTTATTAATTCCTGCCATTTTTGTGTATTTCTAATGTTTAATGTGGTCCTATTTATCATTTGTTTAGCTACTTTTCAAATGAGATTTGTTTCTTTGTGAGCTTTGGGATTTGTTTTTGAATTTTTCTGTGTGAAATTTTTCCTTTAGTATTTTTATAGTGATAGCTTAGCAGCAATTTTTTAGTTTCTGATCATCTTAGAAGGTTTTTGTTTCTGCTTTGATTCTAAAGGATGGTGTTGCTAGATATAGCAGTTTTGGGTGACAGTTTTTTTTTTTTCTTTAGGACTCAGAACACATTATTCCAAGTCCTTCTGATTTTAGAATTTATGTTCAAAAATCCTAAGTAATTCTGATTCGATTGTCTCTAGATGTAACCTGACATTTTTACTCTTTTAAAAGTCTATCCTTATTCTTTATGTTAGTCTCTTTTTGTTATAATGGGTCATGAAGAGATTCTTTTTGGTCTTGTGTAATTTGGGTTCTGAATGCCTCCTATATCTGGATATACATGTCATTCTCCATGTTTGGAAAATTCTCTCTCATTATTTCTCTGCAGAGATTATTTCTTCCTTTAGCCTGTACCTCACAACCCTCTTCAATCCCAGCGATTCTTAAATTTGGTGTCTTAATGTTGTTCCAGAGCTCTTGTATATTCTAGTCATGATTACTTATTTTCTTTTCCCTAACATTGTCTGAATGTTCAAGGCTGATAACACTGTCTTCAGCTCTGAGATTCTGTCTTCAGGATGGTCTTCTCTATTAAAAAGTCTTTTAACTGAATATTTATTTAATTTTTGTGTCTTTCATTTCTGAGATTTTTGTTTGATTATTTTCAGTATATCCCAATGCCATATTTAATTTCTCATTCATACCCAGTACTGGCTTCCTTAATTAATTCTGCTGTTTTCCTTTACTCTCTTGGAATTCATTGATAATTTTTATAATTGTTCCTTTTGATTCTTTACCTGATAGTTCATCCACTTCAATATCTTTGGAGTCAGTTGCTGGTGAATTAGGAACTTTAGGAGGTGTTGTGTTAACTTTTTTTAATAAATTTTTTTTGCATATGTTGGGATGAATTTCTCTTTCACTCCTATATGGGCATTTTTAGGTCATGGTCTGCTCTTGGTAATTTCCTCGAGTGATCTAGATTAAGACCCCTTATAGGTGTGGTACCCATAGCCTTTGTGTTAATTCTCTTCATTTTTGCTGTTGAAGTGAATGTCCATGAGAGAGACCTGCAGCCTCCCTCTAGCCATTCCTATTTGGGACCTGTCATTAGTTTGGAGTTTTTCTCTCCTATTCTTATATTAAATTATAACTGAAATTTGAGTGTGGTTAATTTATGTGTGACACATGATGTGCTGTGTTTTGGCTATGTTTAGTTCAGATGCTGAGTCTCTACCCTATGAACTTGTAGTGTCCCTGTAGATTGCCAGCACTTCACAGAAAAGGGAGAAACAAACAATAGCAACAAAGAATACACCACATTAAAATAAAAACCTGCTGCCTACTATGGCATTAGAACACTAATTACCACATAGATAGGAATGGAGTGGTCAGAAATTGCCAAGAGCAAAACTATAAATAACTGTGAACTTGATCTGGTAGTAGAGAAAACAGCAGGTATAAACTTTGTCATCCATAGCACTAATAACTGCAACAATATTAACAGTGTGAGCAGGAGTTATATAAAACAAGTAGTTCTAAAAAGTGGTAAAATACAGTTCATTAAGAAAAAAATGTGATAGAAAAAAAGGAGAAAGTTTACAATGTTGAAAATGTGAACATAGAAAATGCAGAACAGATGTAGCAAATGATGGTTATAAAGAAGGATGAGAAAAATTAGAAAAAAAAACCTAAAGAGAGAGAGAGAGAGAGGAAGAAAGAAAAGAATTTGGCTCTTAGTAGAAGAAATAAGAAAAAGAAAAACAAATGAACAACAAAAAATGAATGAATGAATGAATGAATGAATGAATGATCAAACAAGCCAAAACCCTAACTCTCAAAAGACATGATAAGGAAACATAACTATTGTAAGAATATGCTAAATATGGGGGGGGGGATATGTCTGTGTGTACATGTCCATGTACCAATCAGCACAGCAAAAACACTGTCGTCCCTTGCAGAAAGGAAAAAAAAAAAAAGATTTTTAATGAAAAAATAAAAGAATTGTCTTAATTGAGGTAGTCAAAACAGTCAATGAGTATAGATGGTCATTTCTTATGCCCAACTGCCTTCTCTTTGTTTCTTCTTTGGCTATGTACTGAGAGAGAGTGTGTGAGAGCAAGGTGGGGATTGTGAACCCCTCCTCTTTTTTGTTACTCACCAAGCTATCAGCTGAAGTGGCCTAAAATCGAAGCCAGTTGAAATAACTCTTAGCTTTCCTTCTCACCAGTATAAGATATTCTGGAATGGGAAGTATTGTCAATTGGAGTTTTGTCTGGACAGACCAGATGGATGTACACCCAGGGTGGGTTGCTGCAGAGTTCTAAGAGGGGAGTTCCAGTGTCTGAGGTTTAGGTCTATTCAGGACTTACAGTCTTTGTTGGGTGGCATCTATTTTGGAGAGATTAGATCAACATCCCCTGGAGCCATACAGATGCTAATCTCTCTTGGGCATATAGATCTCTGGAGTCTCCCAAGGAGTTCTACTTGAGGAGATGGGGAACCAAACCTCCACACACTGCGCTGTGCATGAATATGATCTTCCCAGGCTTAGTCCCTGAGTGTATTCACATCACCTGTTCAGTTTCCTGACCCTAGTCACCTAGTCACACGAGCTGCCAAACTCAAAGGAAAGTGAGTTGTATTCCCGTCTGTTTTTCTGACTTGAATTCCCCTGGGTACAATCTTCTCTGTGCCTGTTTCATTAACTTTATGCTAGGTAAACCATAGGGCACACACCAGGTGCTTGCTGGGACAGTAAGGCAATGTTGGCTGTGATATTTCAGCTCCCACAACAGCAAGCTGCAGTGTGACCTCCTCAAGATGACTCCCACCTCAGTTCTCTGCTTCCCAGTTGAGAAATATAGAGCATTTTTTAAACACCAATTTATTGTTCAGCCTCTGGATCAGCTAAGTTCAGGCTTCTCTTCTGATCATCAGGTTTTTCCATGCCCAATTTGTCCAGTATGTTCCTCTTTCTGTTATCCCTTCCCTCTGCAGTTAAGCAATGCTACTGCCATTGCTGCTGCGGCGGCCAGCTTGGCTCAGATGTGCTCTTTCTTGCTTTTTGCTCAATGCACCTGAATTTCTGAGTCTTTATGAGATGGTGACTGTCCAACATGGAATTTCAGTGAATTCCTTCTTTCACCAATCTAGCTGAGAAGCAGTATTCTTGTTGCTTGAATCTGTAACCATAGAACAACAGACAGTGAAGCCTTCCTCCAACCTGCCATCTTGAATCTACCCAAAGTTATCTCTTATCCACAAATCTGGCCATGTTTCTACTATGCTTGAAACCACAGAGGCCCTCAATGCCTTCCACAGGATGAGAAACTAGACAATGCCCAGTTGAATTTGAATTTCAGATAAAGTTTGAATGGTAATGCCTTCCACAGGAGACAGCCTAGACCTCACAGTATGGCTAGAGGTTTCCATAGTCTGGCTCTTCCCATTTTTCTACCTGAGTAGACTTTATGGCTTCATCTGTGGTACATTCCCATCAGCCTGGCCAAAAGCAACTTGCTTTCTAAGAAAATGCTCAAGGGTAACTTCTTTGAGTTTTCTCTTGACCTTTACAACTTCTTATCCCACACACTTTAAAAAACTATGTTTGTGCTTATATAGACTGTTTTCAACAATATATTCAGTATTATAATATTATCTATTATTTCCCTTTCTTAGACTTGTCAGCCACTTAACCTAGAGACCAAGGTGATTTGCTTTTTGTGTCTTGATCATGTAACATGACACCTGATACAGATCTTAATGAAGTTTCTGGGGGGTAAATGAATGAGTGGATCCTGTAGATTATTTGAAATCCAACAACTTCAATGCAATGTTGGTAGCACAATTGCTTAGTAAAGCTGAATTTCTGAATTCGCTCTTTCAGTAGAGTGAAGTAAAGGATATTTGATATATTTTTACACTTAAAAATTATTCATTATTTATCTATAATACATCTGGTATTTTTGGTTTATAAATCTGGCAACCCTGCCTCCAAGGCTATTTTAATTTTAAATTAAATTAAATTTTAAATTAAATTAAAATCCCATATTAAATTTGATGTACTTGTGGGTATACTTCAGAGTATCTGTAATACTTGGTTCAATGAATAATTCTTCAATTCTCCTTCAACTGTGAGAAGAGAAAGCATTTGGGATCAAGGAAACAGAGCTCGGATGAGCAGCCAGAGAATGAGATTGCTTTATTGATACCAGTTGTGAACATTGTGAAGAATGGAGTTCATTGCTTCTTTTCTCACAATTGCTTTTTTTCTGATGGGTTTTTCTCCTCCTTAGCTTGTGACCAATCCTGTAAGAGTTGTGGCCCCAATAGTCCCAGATGTCTTTCCTGTACTGAAAAGACAGTGTTGTATGATGGGAAATGCATTGCTGAATGCCCGCGTGGGTACTACGCAGATGCCACTGGCAGATGCAAAGGTAAGAGCTGGGGTGTCATCACCACCATCATCACCATCATCAAAAGCCTTTAATATATATAATCATACTTGGTGCTATTTGCTAGTCATTTGAGATTTTGTGTGTATGATGGGAAAATATTACTTTCAAAAGGATAGCCTTTTCTTTTGTAGAACCTATGTGTATTTGATATGAGAGTGGAAGATTTGGGTGGATTCTTAGGGCATAGGGTGAATTAAATGAAGGACTAATGCCTATCAATCATCCTGAGAGTATTTGGTCTGTTAAAAATGTCAAGAACGTCTTTAACACACAGTCCTTGTGTACTTGTAAACAGTCACTAACCTATGTTAGTGATGACAAAATTGTTCCTTCCATGGCATTTATAAACTAGTACATTGGCAGCTACGATACACCACAAAAATAAAATGAAAAAGAAAACCAAGTTTGATAGCTAGTAAAGCTAAGGTCTGTTTGTTTTCACTGAAATTTTGTTTGTACATGCTATTTATATATTGTTTCTTTCAGACTGGTACAACCTAAACTATGACACATTGCCATTCGAGACTTTATACATTTCCAACTTATATATGCCTGACTTATGTCTTTACTTACAGGTGCCTAAGAATGTATTGCTGCCTGGAAAACCTTAATTTCCACTCCTTTGTGAAATACATATTCTCACTTCTGCTTAGTGTCTGTTAGGATATTTAGAACTGTCTACTCCTCTCTTCTTATCAATCTGTTTTTGTCTGCCAATCCCTTCATGCACCCACAGTTCATCCCTTTTCCTCAGCATCCTGCCCCTATGGTTCTCATCCTGTCTCCCCACTTCCACCATCAGCTCCTGACCTCTGCCCCCAGAGCCTTCTTCCTGGACGTCACTCCTATCCTAAGTCCTGTTAAAGGCTCAGGTCAGGCCATGCTGCCTGGAAATCAAGAGATGTTCCACCGTTAACCTGAGGGCCAAGGCAGGAAGATGTGTCCCTCATGTTAGCGTATGGAGTGGTCAGATTCTTTTCTGCAATAAAGCAATTCTTAGAATCCTAGAATGTTAGAGCTAGAAGCATCATAAATTTTCATTTCATCTAACCTTTCAGTATGCATATGCCAAGGAAAGTAGACCTGGAGAGCACCAGACATGACCGAAGGCGTCAATGAGTTAGTGGACAAGTCTGTTGGAATTTCAGCATTCCTAACACTCATACCCATAGGTTTTCCACTCTTCCCTTAGTTCAGGCAGTGTGAGCTTCAGATTGGGGCAGACTAAATCCCAACCTTGTTCTGAGTGAGCTTTGGGGTCCTGGGTAAATTTTTTAACATTTCAAGATTTCAATTTCCTCAACTGTAAAATTTAATTAATAATATGCCATAGCGTTACCAGGATTAAAAATTAATATGTAACAATCATTTCATGCAAACACTAAAAGTAGCTGATAAGTAGTAGGTAGAATATGGATAAAAGGTGGGTGGGGAGCAGTAAGGGCAGTTCTAGCAGTGTCACCTCCTCCTAACACATCTCTTCCCTTGGTCTGGTGTGACAAGCGAGGGGACTAAAAGTGAAGAGGGCTTTCCAGCACACACCACCCCAGACAGGGAGTATGCTGTGCAGTCACCTCAGCCTACAGTACAGCCCATTGTGTCTCCTCTCTGTTTCCTCCTCAGTTTGTCATGACTCATGTGCCAGCTGCTCCGGACCCTCAGCCTCTCACTGTACAGCCTGCATCCAGCCCCAGGCTCTACATCAAGGCCACTGTCTATCCAGCTGTGGAGAGGGCTTCTACCCTGACCATGGGGACTGCAAAGGTATCATTGGTATATTTGTCATTCTTGGGATAGTGTCCTATCACAAGGATGTAGATTGACTTTTTCTCAATAATATCACTTTGCAGTGCAACTTTTCCTGACCTGAGCCTTTTACAGGACTTAGGACAGGAATGATGTCCAGGAAGAAGGCTCTGGGGGACAGAGGTCAGGAACTGGGTGGTGGAAGTCGGGAGACAGGATTAGAATCGTAGTGGCAGGACGCTTAAGAAAAGACTTTATACATTTCCAAGGCCCTTTGAATCTGTATTTACATGTTACACATCCTGGAGTCAATAAACCACAGATAGGAATTTTTTTTTAATTCCAAAAATTTCCAAAAAGGATATTTTGAATTTACTTCATGAGTTCTACGCAGGGTTTGTGCATATGACAGCTCTATAGGCATTGTATTAGTCTAAAGATAATTTAAAGCATACAGGAGAATGTGTATAGGCCACATGCAAATTCTATGCCATTTTATAGGAGAGACTTGACTATCTACAGATTTTGGTATCCGCAGGGGTCATGGAAGCAGATACTAAGGGACAACTGTGTTGCCTTATTTCATTAGAATAGTTTAGTGAAAGTATAATCTGGGACGGGGGGAGGCAGGGAGGGTGTGCAAAACTTTTTATGATTTTCCAGGCTATCCTAAAGGAGAATGGAATTTTCTTTGCGATACATTAAAACAAAATAAAATTCTTATTTTCTTCTTTCTCTTTTCTCCTAGTATTGCTAATGTTTTTCTAGACTGCATTTTGCTTTTCCCTGCGGAACTTCTCTTTGTTAATGATACTCTGAGCAAACTGAGAGTCACTAGCAATGCCTCTGGGCTGAATAAAACGAGAAATCTTAAATTGCCATTTGCCAAAAGGCTCTGAGCTCATTGAGAGAGCAGTGGCATTTGAGCTTTTTGAAACTAGAACAATGGGGGCAAACACTTTAATTAAATGAAATGAAATTATATTTATTTGTATATAGGATATCTTAGAAAAGAATTTGAGAACAGTTACAGGAAAATGTACTTAAAACTGAAAAGCTGCAATAAATACTTTGAAAAAGTAAATTTAGAGAATCTTTAAGAGAAACAGAAAAGTTAATTGTAACAAAATGTGGGCACAAGAAGGTTTAAGTACAGTGTTTTGGCTTTGATTTTCCCCAGTCACCAGGGAAAACAACACACTGTGATTGATGGTGAAATTTTCATTGCTACTTGAAGGAAGCCTCTTCCTTGTTTAGAAAGGCAGCTTTTCTCCAGATAAATTCTAAGAGGAATTTGTTGTCTAGACCTCTCTATAATGGATGATAGAAGACATAATAGACAGTTACACAACAACCATTTTTGCGAAAGATACAGTAATGGCCTTCCTATGAACACTTCTAAAAATCTTCAATAAAAACTGAGGGCATAATGTTAAATCGTCATTCAGTGAATGTGCCAAGCCAATATTGTCCACTTTGCTGGGTTTTGTGATCCAGCCTGACAGCCCTTACAGCACCTGAGAGAAGTAACCAGTCACGTGACCCCTCACTTTCCTTCTACAAGCTTTATTATCACCCCTGTGCTTTGTATAGAACTCTATAAAAATCACCTTCTGAAAGGATGTATCTGGTGAACTTTCCTAAGTGGTTTTCATGTAAGGAGGGACTCCAGTCGGTTGCAACATATATTTGATCTTTGGGTTACTTTCTGCATTTTATTCCTATTTGTAGCCTGTCATGCTTCCTGCCAGACGTGTGTGGGTCCAGAGCCCTCTCATTGCACTCAGTGTCGGAATCCAGAGGCAGGACTGCAAGCAGAGCAGCTCTCTGGGGCACACATCCCCTCTGGCGAGTGTCTGTCCGAGTGTAGAGCCCAGTTTTACTTGGACAGCTCTGGGCTGTGTGAAGGTGAGTAGGTGTGATTTGAGGAAATGCAAGTTGCTTCTGGGTTTACCTCTCCAGAGATCCTGTGAGGTGAGACTCCAGCCAGGAAGACCTTCGTTTTTATATGAGAAGGGTTCCAGGCTGCTTGTGGATGAATCAGGAGATGGACATACAGAAGAGAGGCCCCACTGATGTCTTCCCTCCCTTTGGGAACAACAGATGATCTTCAAGAGCCTCTAACACTCCCCAAGTTAAATTTTCAGAAGATGCAGACAGAAAATCCTCCAAAGACTAAAAGTAGCTAAGGAAGACCCCGATCTTATTATGGAATTCCATTTTTTTTTTCTTATATTTTGCTACCATGCATAGGAATTGGCCCCTTCAGGGCAAAATCAGGACTAGTGTCAAAATATCTCATGACCTTGGTATATCATCTACAAGAATTGATAATACCTGGAATGATTTGACTCAATAGCCAGGACTTTCAGGATCTGAAGGGAATGGTGTATTTTCCTAGGAGACAGGGGAGGAAGGCCCTTGTATGCTCCTATAAGGAGCCACCGTGCTGTGGCATGAATAGTTCAATTCTCAGGCTACCTGAAAAAAAAATCACTAATCTTGTATTTTGCATTGTAAATATAATATTCAGTCACAAAAGAAAATTTTGACCAAGAGAAAAGTAGAAATAACCTGCCCATGACTTAAGCCAGTTGCTTTTGCCATTTTTTTCCTGTAACATCCAAGTCTTTTTTCCTATTCATAGCTTCACGTGTTTATTTTTGTGACACAACTGTAAGCATGCTGCAGATTTAAATTTGTATCCTATAAGCCCACTTATTAAAGTAGCTTCAGTTCTACCCTAGAGTATATTCTCTCATAGAAAGGCTGGATTTCAAAATTAGGTTAAAAAATTTCAGACAAGTGAGTAAGTTGGCATATCAGGAAGTGTGCAGAATTGGAATATAGACACTCAGACTAGATACTTTACCTTTCTGGGCACTTGCACTCATGGCACTAGAATATAGAATTATCTTTCACATGGCTTTTTGCTTAGGATTGCAAAAGTGGCTGGTAAATTAAGAGTCCCCATGCTCAATAGGTATGATGTTCAGTCCACCTCCTGAGGTGTTCAGGAACATAACAGAGGTAATCCTCTGCTCCCTGGGAGGCATCAGACTCCAGGAGGTTTACAGGGTTTCTCCAGACACTCTGACTACTACCCATGTATGTAGGCATTGCCCAAACTCTCCAAGGTGCCCTAAACTCCCCTAACTGTGCTCCATAAGCACTTGTGGAATATATGACTCTTTGTCAATATTGAGAGTCCCAACTGTTTCCCAAGGCACACACCACACAGCCTTCCCCTTCCTTGGATTGACTACTTCTAGGTGCTATAATTAGGGGTGATGCTGTTCTTTCATTAGGAACCCACAGACCCCTGTGGGTGGGGAAGCAGGCGTTCTTCTGTTTCATTGCCTCCCAGCTGTCTTCAGTGGGTTTGCGTTTACCAGACAAGATTCCTCAAGTCTTTCTGCTTTCTGGCAAGCCCCAAGATCCCCAGAGGAAAGTAAATACAGTACCTAGCCCTGCTCAGCAAGGGGAAAGTACCTGGAGTAAATAGAAAAAAAAAAAACATTACTATTTCTTGTTTGTTTGTTTTTGCTAGGGATTAACTTAGGCTAAGCAAGAGCTCTCCCTCTAAGCAAACTAGCCTTTTAAATTCTTCATATTCTGCTTCTTCCTCTGCATTCTCTGCCTCCTCTATCTCTTCCTCCTTTTCTTATTTCTCTGTCTGTCTCTGTTTCTCTCTTTCTTTTTCTCAGTCTTGGCCCACATTGTTACAGAAGTGGGTTTTGATTTATTGGAATCTGTGAAGCTAGTCTGCATGGTTTCACCAAGCCCTGGACTGTGTGCCCTGGGGTTTGAGTGGAAGCCCAGAGATATCAGACTTGTGTCAACGCTGGTCTTCCCAATAATTCAGAGAGATGCTGTGGGAAACTCTTGGGCACACAGATTGAAACTAGCAAAGCTAGAGGAACCCTAGGAGAGTCCTTTTTGTGGTCCAGTGACTCTGGTGTTCTCCTGGGCATAGTGATCTTAAGAGAAATTCAGGAGGAAATATTCCCACACTACTCAGCACAGATAGTGTCTTCCTAAATTTTGAGCACTATATTAAAAACTAAAAATGGAGAATGTGGAGTGAGTTGAGAAGACAGAAATAAAAATGATTAACACCTTAAAGGTTAGAATTATAAATAAATAAAAATGAAAGTGACCAAGGTGATTCAGCCCAGAAAATAATATGAGCATTTGTTTGGTACCTATCATGAGACAGGCCCTGTGAAAAGTGCCTTACTTGTTTGGATCATTTATTCCTAATACAAACCTTTTGGGGTCAGTAGGATAAATATTTTCTAGAAGAAATGGGCAATGCCTACATACATGGGTAGAAGCCAGAGTGTCTGGAGAAACCTTGTAAATCTGGAGAATGATGCCTCCCAGGGAGCAGAGGATTACCTCTGTTATGTTCCTGAACACCTCAGTAGGTAGATTGAAAATCATACCTATTGAGCATGGGGACTTTTAATTTACCAGCCACTTTTGCAATCCTAAGCAAAAAGCCATGTGAAAGATAATTCTGTATTCTAGTGCTGTGAGTGCAAGTGCGCACAGAAGTTAAGTCTGTAACTTGCTTAAAGTCAGGTAGCAAACATGGAGTAGAGATGGATGGGAACCTAAATCAGTCTGACTCCAATATCTGTGCTCATAACCATCAGGCTTCTTTACTCTCTGAAGGTGCAGCCACCTATTATAGGTGCTACCTATAACACAGCTGCTAGTCTCCTTCCCACACTGGGGGAGGAGAAGCAAGGCATACTTACTCTGCAGGATCGGAGCATATTAAATTTAAGAAATCATCCTTGGCAAGGGGGAGTTTTCTGGAATCCCTTTATATAGGTACCTTTTTAAAAGGATTAGAATCTAATCCCTTTGGAATGGCTTAATTGTGGTCAGATGCAAAAGGGCTGGATTGAACTCTTGAGTCTCTTGTAGCCCCATGATTTTATGCTCGTTAACATAATATCACTAGGTATCACACATATAGCTGTCTACTCACATTTATTAGCAAATCCCTGTGCAATCTCCACTAGGTAGGTTGTTGTACTCAATTTGCATGTGATGAGGATGTGGCAGAAAGAGGTTAATTGAGTTGCCCAAGATTCCATTGGGAAACTGAGCGTGACTACCCATTGTTTCCAGCCTTACCTGAGTACGAAGTATGTTGATTGATGTATTTTCTGTCACTCATCCTGTATCTCTGGAAACCTTCTCCTTCCCGCAATCTGTTCCATTTTCAATTCTGCTGAAGTGTTGTCTATGAAATCAGGCCTGGGAGTCCTGGGAGATTGCATGGGGCTTTTCTTGTTCTCACAGCTTCCCAGAAGTACCCTTGCCTCTCTGCAAAACAGTTTAAAATATTGGGGATGGGGTGTGTGTATGTGCGTGCGCACTCACACCTGGAATGTGCTATTGAGAATTTCTTTTATAGCACTTTTGATCTCAAGAGCTTTTCTATAAAGAAGAGGAAAAAACAACTGTTTTCTGAAGCTCTCGGTATCCCATTCTTGGATACTGCAGCATAAAGTGATTAGAATATTATTGCACTAATGAAAGCAAGAGGCAGATGCAGTATAGGAAGAAGCACTTTACTCAGAGGCTGACATAGTGTCGGAAATTGTCATAAAAGTTTTTACTTTGAGCTGTATTATATACTCTGGAATGATCTTGTGCAAGAAGTATTAGTACTTCAGATATTTGACTAAATTTTATGTCTGATTGACGGAACATAAATATATAAATTATCAAACAGTGACCATGAAGAGCACTGCTTGTTGGAAGCTGCCTGTATTTATTCATTCCTTACACAAACATTGATTGAGTTTCTGGGTACCAGGCATTTCTGGGCACCAGAGATGCACTAGTGGATGAGTTGGATGAAAATTCCTGTACTCATGGAATATGTATTTTAATGAGAGAAACAGGGAATGAATGAATGAATGAATGAATGAAAAAGCAACAAATCCCATGGTATGCTCTTGGATGGTGGACTGCATTATGAAACTCATGGCAATACAGTGGAGAAGAATAATGCGCTGGGATGGCTCAAAAGCAGAAGAGTTCTGGAGAGATGGAGCCATTTATCTGCATGTGTTTATCTTGTGGTTTTGGCTCATTCTTAAGAAAGAGCTGGGCACTTCAGGAGATGGAGCTTGAATTTTTTTTTTTCCCTAGAGCCTTTATTTTTCTAAAGAGAGGCTAGTATCGCTGAGGTCTATAAAAGATAATTTGGAGGCATTTTAAGTAAAAATCTGTGTGTTTAGTAAATATCAACCTTTAGGATTAACTAAAAGAAAAATTTTAGTAATTTCATACACAGTTGATCTCATCTGTATAACCAAGTATTCACCAACACTGAGGAAAGATTACAAGTTTCTTTTTTTTTTCCTTTCTTTTTCTTTTTCTTTTTTTTTTTTTTTTTTCGTATCAGGGTTTGAACCCAGGGGCACACTATCTCTGAACTCCATCCCAAACTCTTTTCATTCGTTTTTATTTTATTTTGAGACAGGGTCTTGCTAAGTTGCACAGTCTGGCTTTGAACTTTGCATTCCTCCTGCCTCAGCCTTCAGTTGTTAGGATTATAGGTATGTGTCATGGCTCCCGGTACTAGTTTCTGAAGGAAGGGAGGGCTAGAGGGAGGAAGAGAGGCAGGCAGGACCCCTAGCACCTCCCTCAATAAAACTAAACAAATTAGTAAAAACCCAAACCCTCCAAAACATCCCTAAAGCATCCTTTATCTTGTGATCAGCCTCCACCCACTGCTTTTTTTTTTTTTTTCAGGCTTCTGTGAGTTAACCAGGATGGAGTCTCCTGGGGAGCCAATAGAAGCTTCTTTGCCATTTCCTTGCAAGTGTGTGCCCGACTCCTCCTGGAGTCATTTAGTGACAGTCTGTTTGACTGTCTCT